CCGGTGACGTTGTAGCTGATCTGGTTAGGTCCTGTGATGGTGTTGCTGGTGTAGATATGTGGGCAGAGTTGGCATTGAGGTTTGTTCCATGGGTTGGTTCCTGAGTTAGAGTTGTTATGGTGCGGTGCGTGGTTGCTGGTGAGAATATGCTTAAGGTTGGCAGGTTGTCTGTGGGCGAAGACTGGCCTGCCTCCCAAGGTCTGTGAAAGTGAGGGATCATTGTCCAGGATGGGTTGTAGATCACTGACGATCACTTGCATCTGAAGAAGTGAGGTTCTTACCCACGAAAGCTTATGCTCCCAATACTTCTGTTAGTTTTTAAGTTGCCACAGGACACTGTTACTTTTTACAGATTCAGACTAACACGGCTACCCCTCTGATATCTTTGCTGGATGAATCTCTGGCTGATGGGCTCAGGATTCTCTGGTGAGTATGGCTAAGGCATTGAAACATGGAGATAGCGTTCTGCCTCAAGGACACTGGTTTTCAAGGGCCTCTGATTGTCTCTGCCTGTGGTTGATGGGGTAGATTCTACCAGGTGCCACAGTGAGAATTCATGCTTCCAGTAGGCAATTCTGTGCTGTGTGGTTCTGTGCTCAGCTTGCGAATATCCCATGTGTGCACGTGCACAAGCCATGTCTTCTGAGAACAGGTTACTGGTTTTACTTGTTCTTTTTTGTCCAAGTGGTAGGCAAATCTGTCTCAGTTGAAACAGCTGATAAATGTGAATGACTTTGTTGAGAAATGGGAATCTGAAGGTAAGGTATAAAAGAGACAATTTCACAAAGCTTTACCCGCACCCAAGAAAATATTCCTAGAATGTTGTTCCTGGAAATTTTCATAGTAGTTGTCCTTGCATATATCTCATTTTTTCCTACCACGTGTTGGCTGCAGCATCCCCATTGTGTCACACTGAAAAGTAAGTTTTGTCTTCCTTGCTGTCGGTCTAATCGGTCGTCCAGCCTGCAGACTGTGTTCGGCGGTCAAACACTCATGACAGTAAATCCCTGTGCTTCTTGTTAGGCATGCTTTAATATACAGTCTTTGGGAAAATACCAAGCTAGTTCACCTCCATCATCTGCTAGTGTTTCTTAATTTTTGGTCATCGCATCCTGTGCATTAGGATAATTACTGTCTTTTTGATTGCAACATTATAAACTCAATATCATTAACTAATTATTAGGAAGTGTTGTTTGTATGTACAAAGCATTATCTTCATTAAGATTATCTCAGGCATGTAGAATATTCTTAAAAATTCACGTTTAAAAACAGCTTTACTTGCGTTCGGCTTTTCAAAATTGTTGCCTGATATGATCTCTGTTTCGCAGAAATGTTAAATGTTGCCTTGCTTTATCTTCCCTGTTGCTTAGGATCATAACCACAGTATTCTCCTATTTTAAAATCGTTTATTATCCAAGCAATTTTTTCAAATTTGTTTGTCAGCCTGACATCCATTGTGATTTACCCTTCACAGAATACTATTGATGGGTCAATTTAAGGTCAGATGATCTGGGAGGAAAAGGGGGTTACATTTTTAAAAAAGAGAGGGATTTATTTATTTTTTTTACCCCTTTCCCCTTCTTCCTTTCACAAACTCTTCATAAAAATTCCTCTTTGCTCAAACTCTTCTTAAAAATTCCCTGTTGAGCAGAGCATAAGCCTGAAGAACTTCATCCCAAAAGGCAGTTTTCGGGGAAAAGTTATGAAAATGGATGTATCAGTATAGGGATAGCAGTTGCTGCCAAATGACTGCTAGTATAATCTCACCTAACGGCAAAATGTTCCATGTATGGAAGTTTGCCCATCTGTGAATGTACCCTTTGGATGGCAGTGCACAGCAGTTACCTACAGATCTGTCTGTAAACATAAGGGCAGTCCTCTGTGTTCCACATTATCTCTGAGTCTGAGGCAGATTTCAGTCACGTGGAGCTGACTGACTTCTCTGTCCTCCTGGCAGCTGCAGCCTTTCCCAGTCTGAGACGGCTCACCATTCATCCATCATGTCACCAGCAAGTTCCATTGATGGGAGCCTTGTTGGACAGATGGGCGTCTTGCGTGGGCCTGTATCTCTGCTTTAAAAACTCTGTCCTGGAGTCTTTCTAGTCTACATATGAGCATTTTTGGCATCCTGTGGAACACATTCTTCAATCATGTATTACTTTGTGTCTTTCTCTTGTTCCTTTTAAGAAAAGACCATTGACAGTTACTTTCCCTTAAACTCGCAGCCAGTGGGCTGGTCCTTTTTGGAAAACAATATTCTCCAGAACAATCCGGATCCTATGTTAAGTGAACACGTCATAGGTAGATGGGAGTTTCAACACCAGGGGAAAAACGAGGAGTGTCTCCTCCCCTAGATATACAATAAAGGTTGTGTTTGTGTTTCCATTCTAAAGGCACTTTCAGAAGGATAAAAATTGTCACTTGCCATTCCAGAGCCCACCCTCAAACTTTTCTTACCAAATTAAAGATTGCATTAGCAGTTTGTAAATACCAGACGCACTAACACGTGTCTCTTACCTGTGATGGATACTTGCATGTTTTGAAACTCAAAACTAAAATTTGGGTGGCAGTTGGCTTAAACATTGCTGGTATCTGGTGAAGGAAATTAACAGGAAAAAAGAAGTAAGTGGCTATTGGTCATATGAAGCAAAGTGATTACTTTTCTCCAGGCTTTTTAATACCCCTGGTCTGTGGCCGAAGAGTGTTAACTAGTGAGATGTGGTTTCAATTTCTTTTTAGCCCATGAAAGCTTATGCCCAAATAAATTTGTTAGTCTCTAAGGTGCCACAAGTACTCCTCGTTCTTTTAGGATAAATATGTATTTTATATCCCTGCATAAGGTTTTTCAAAGGAAATTAAATATTAAATGAATGTAAGTACTTAAAGGACTATTTATATAATGTTAAGTTAATGACACCAACTAAGAAAAGCCAGGAAATTCAAGCAGTTTTTTTTTTTAAGTTTAATAAATAGAATGTGTTTTCCACTATTTTGTTTATTATGGCTGGTATAGATGTACTTGTAAAATTTGGGCTTATTTTGACTTTGTTTTGCAGATGTGCACAATAAGTGAACATATATCTGTTCTTCATTGTGGCCTGGAGAAATATTACATGACATTTGTTGCTGGGGTATTTTGACATTCAGTCAAATTTGTTTCCTTCAGTTAAAACTTGTACTTGAAGTTTGGATAAGAATTGACAGCAAAAGACTAAAGCAAATTGATGATGGAAGACGTACCAAAGTAACCCCCCGCCCCTCGCTTTGTTTCCTATAGTGAAGGACGCTGAGAGTGGTTGTGCACAAGGTGCTAAGCAAGAAGATGTCTCCAAGGTGAACAATCCAAGGCTTCTTCAGGAGAAGTTTCTTCAAAGGACAGCAAAGGTAACGTCTCATCGGAATAACAATCTATCTTTCATGTCAGAAGGGCTTGAACAGCATTATGCTCTGCAATAGCCCTGCCTTTGGCCTCCCTTCAATCTTCTGCTAGTGCTCATTGAATCCGATTCCCCGGTGTAGGAATATTTTCTTCACAGTCTGATAAAGGCTTGAGTACCGTGCCATTTTTGCCAGTTACCCTGGTTTAAAATGCACGTGTTCATTATACAACATGACTTAGCAACATTCAAAGAGGGTTTGGACGTTTATATGGATGCCAAGAATAGTGAGAGCTCTCATAATTAACGATAACAGTTTTGGAAGGGATATTAAACTTCAAGTTTAAGGTGCTCTCTAACTATTAAGAGACAGGATGAGATCTATGTGAGGTCAGGTTATCCCACACCTACTGCAGGGGTTTCAGAAACATCTGGTTCTGGCTATTGCCAGAGACAGGGTGCTGGACTAGATTGTCCTCTGATCTTAGCCAGTATGGTGATTCCTACGTTCCAGATTTCACTAGGAGGTGAAGCTTCAGCCCTTCTAAAAGGATTGCTCTTAATAAACCCAGACAATTAGCGATAATATTTCTGCTTGTATCCAGTGATTTATATGGGTCTACAAAAAATATACCCTGGATGAACGCATTTGTGGAAAGTGACATTTAATGGGATGCAATTTATTTTATTATCTAAGCCTTTTTGTATAAAGCCCTAACTCTGGAGAAGCACAGGAAAAACATTTCTGCCAAACTCCCCACCAGTGTGCCCTTTCCTCTCCCGTAGTTAGCATTGGCTCCACAGAGGCACTGGTTTTGGACTGGTGAGTATACAAGTGGAAGATTTTACAGAAGTGACTTGTGCATTTTGGCTAATGTACGGCTGCTGCTTGTCTGGTTTTGTTCAGTAATTAAGAAAAGTGCCTTAAAGAGCGAACACTTGGGAGACACACAGTTCCACCATCGCCATGAGCAAGATGGCAAGTTTTGTTTGGCTCAGGAAATCACTTTGTAAATGGCCACTGTTTTAAAAACAAAAAAAGGGGGCGGGGGCTCTCCTTTCACCATTATTCTGTTACAGGAAATGAAAGTTTCTCTGATGGTGATAATTGTAGAAATCCTGTGATTGTTCTAGGTGGTCTGTATCTTGGAGAGGAAGCATTCCAGAGCAGCTACAGGCTTCATCAAACTGCTGGCAGACAAAAGCAGTGAACTCTTCAAGAAGTGCGCCATGTTCTCACCTGTGGACCACCGAGTGCCTAGAGCCTATGTGTCTTTGGCAGACTGTCCTCCGGACTTCATGAGCCGGCCTGAGGACTACTCCAGTACGCTCTTCATCTGTCGGATTGTGGATTGGAGGGAAGACAGCAACTTTGCAATAGGGTACGTGGTTATTAGCAGATCTGGAGAAAAAAGAGGTTTCTCTTCTGGACCCCTAATTGGACTTTATTTGGATATGTGCTACAAGCGCATTAGAGACACAAGACAAATATCTTGCTGCTAGTATTCTACAGAGTGGCCCCCTGCCTTGTCTCAGGATAGATGCATGCTGGTTAAACATTATGGCTCTTGGCTATATAAACTTCTGGCTTCCTCTGGGTGCTGCCAGATAAGTAACTAATCTCTGCAATGTGCTAGGGCCCTCACAATGCAAGTGTAGAATAGAGGTTATCTGTCTCAAGGAGCTTGCATTCTGAGCAGTGGAACCAACTGTAGCTAAGGAGAGAAACAGACCGGCTTAACTATTATGCTAGCTGGCTTTCCATGCTATGTGCTCCTCTTCTCCCCCCGCCCTTTTCATCAGAAGATTTCAGTCTGCGTCTTCATTTTATTCCTGCTTCTCGTTATCGTGAAGGATGCTCTCTTCAGCAGTGCAGGGGGAATTCTTGAGGCTCCGTTAATGTTTTCTTTCATTGGGCGATCAGTGCTTCTCTTATCTGTCCTTTTGATGTGCAGTATTGTGCATCCTGATTTGGCTACTTCAGTAGTTTCCAAGATGTAAAGGGTGTTGTCAGGAAACCGAACTGAAGAAACTTTCCATGATTGTCTTGGTACAGAGTGGTTTCCTCTGGGACTCTGCTATGACTTCAGTAAGAGCCCTGGGGAGCCGGTCGTGTAAAATCTTGATGATTGATCTCAACTTTCACAAAATACATTTGTTTAAACACTGAAATAGAATGAAACCTTTGAGAGGCCCCCAAAGGGCCTGGTAGTTTTCTGGCTTTTACTAAATGTGGCTGCATGACCCTGCCAAATTAATAGAGAGGGACCGTGGAGGGGGCTGAGATTTTATTTTTGGTTAGGATAGGTCTTTGTGGTTAGCAGGTGACAACAACTCATCATGTACTTGACTTTGTGCACTTTCCCGATGTACCTGTTAGGCCAGGGGACAAAATTAAGAGTCTATGATTTGTTCTCAACTCCAGCCTGGGCTCTGTTGTCTCAAGGAATATCACTTTGTCTCTCTTGTGTCTGTTTCTCTATCGGTAACATGGGGGTAGCCATCTTTTTGTAAAATGTTTTGAGATCTTTGAATGAAGATCACTTAATAAATGGACAATATTTAAAAATCATTATTGAGAGAATAGAAGGGGGCGGGAAATATGGTATTCTACTTGTTTTTCCCTTTTGGCTAAAACTGGATCCATAGTGATGTTTTGACCTTAATTCTTATAAAGAAAAAGGAAAATTAGTCCATTAGCTGTGACCGTCTCTTGAAGATTTTCTTGGTGCCTCATGGACTCTCTCCAGAGAGTAATGGCATAGGTCTTGCAGATTCAAGCAAACAAGTGTCAGAACAATATCGTCGTTAGCTAAATATGGCCCTCTTGCATTCAATTCTTGCTCAATTATTAATCTATAACATTATGCTTGTGTGTGCAGGTTGGCACAGTACTGTGCTCAATGATAGAACATGAGAATTGCAATGGGTGACCAGACTCTTAACATAAAATTCCTTCTACCTATTGTAGACTGTGATCAAAAGATTCATGTTTTTATTTCGAAGTTAAAGTGCCTCCAAAGTCACCTCTATTAAAAATTATAGGGAACCTTATAAGAAGACCTGATAAGGACTGCTAAGGGTCTGTGTTAGAGGGGACCTAGACTGAAGAGGAACCAGTAGGTCTTGTCTATACATTCTGCACCCACCTGCCTGACGGGAAAACAGTCTTAGAGGATCTGCAAATCTCTCTCTCCTCCCCTGAATGCTGTGGAATCTACAAGTAACTTTCTGTAGATGTTGCCAAACTCCGATCGGTACAACACTCTCCTTTAGCTCATCCTGCATTTATCCCCAAATGAGCTTAAACAAAAAAAAATAATGGCCACTACACGTTGGGAAGTATAGTTGAGATATTTCTGAAATGCACCATCCTTCATGAGCAACATCAAGGTTCCCAAAATGTTCTCTTTCTTCATGAGCAGCAAAGAGTCCTGTGGCTTTCTTCATGGTGACTGTGTGTGTCATTGGACCCATAAAATGATGGGTGAGCTAGGGGACTTGGCAGAGGACATTGTGAGCTGCTGCTCAACACTCCAAGTTCAAATGCCACCTCGAGATTTGTTGCTACACATTGTGGGGAAAACCTGGCAGCATCCTGGAGGTGAAAGTTTGGGGAGGGGGTTCATTTTTGTGACTCTTGAGTGCCACCTGGTGGTCAAAGGTGAGATTCTGTCTCCTTGGAAGAAGGCCGCATTGTCATGCTGGAAGTGTGGAGTTTTTGTTTTGTTTGGAACAGGTGGAGGGAGAGAGAAAAAAAAGAAGGAAGGAGAGACTATGATAAAATGGATACAGATACATACGGAGATGGTGATATCCAGGGGATGCACAGGTAGGGTGACCAGACAGCAAGTGTGAAAAATCGGGACGGGGGTGGGAGGTAATAGGAGCCTATATAAGAAAAAGACCCAAAAATCGGGACTGTCCCTATAAAATCGGGACATCTGGTCACCCTTTGCACAGGGATACCCACAGCTCTGCTCTGGTACATACCTTTCCCATAGAGTAGTATTTGGAGTGATATCACTGGAGTGAAATGGCATTTAATTTTCTCCACGTCAAGCAGTGGTTAAAACAAACCAGCCTCTAAGCCAACCTTTCCCTTTCCAGACAGATGAGAGACAAGTGTCAGATACAGGTATATTCTAGGGTACTTGTGTTCTTGTGATCCAAGCCAGTACCTGTAATGTTGGCAATGAACCTTCTCCACGGTCTGTGATCTGTCACTTTCTCACTGCTGCTGTCTGTTCCTTAGAGACTGGCCAAGTGAACTCCTATCTCCCAGCCCCCGTATGGTGCTGGGTGAGTCTATTAAACAATAGCAAAGTAAAATGTTAAAGCAGTGGCTCCATCTACATTAGCTTTTAGACACAATGACAGATGGGCCCACATGACGGTATAATTCAGGTATGCAGTGTTGTTGTGACTGTGTCGGTCCCAGGATATTCTCTGTATAATTCAGGGTCTTAAATGTTTGTCCAAGTGACAATAGTTGTCATGGAATTTCAAATAAAATGTAACCTTGCAGTCTGCCCTTTCACTTCTTGTAGGGCCAGTTTAGTGTTTTGAGTTCCTGGAGTCTCTTTTATTTCTTTCAAATCCAAATGTATTTCGATTGAAGGGAAAAGACCAGATTGCCATAGGCAGCCCAATGCCGGCAGCAAGATGAAATGCAACAGTGTTTGCCTGCTCATTCTTCCTATTCGTGCAGGATTAAGCAGACTGATGATGTCACAATTAGAGTTACAGAGCAGAGGAGGCTCAGGCCATGTCTACACTAGCAAGCCTACAGCAGCATGGCTGTACCGATGCAGCGGCGCCGCTGTAGGATGGCTTGCGTAGCCGCTCTACACCGACGGGTGAGAGCGCTCCCTTCGACAGAATGAAATGACCTCTGCGAGCGGCAGGGGGTACGTCAGTGGGAGACGCTCTCCTGCTGACATAGCGCTGTGCACATTACCACTTACGTCGCTCAGAGGGGTGTTTTGTTTCACTCCCCTGAGCAACATACGTTTTCCCGATGTAAGTGGTAGTGTAGACATGGCCCCAGGTAGAGGGTCATAGGAATTTCCAACGATGGGAGAAGTTTGATAAACTAAGGCTATGGCCAGGTTCCAAAATGTCTCCAATAACCGCAAAACCCAAGATGTGGCCATGTGTTATGGTAATTGAGTACTGTAGTCCATAGAGCCATGCGATAGTCTGAACAGTCTCGCCAAGTCATCTGAAGTGGACAAACCAAAGCTTTTGAAATAGTCTGTCCTGTACTGGCCAAGTTCTTTAGTTTTGGTCATTGTGATTCAGGAGAGTAATAGAGGAAGATCTGTGCACACAGACCATCATTTCAACCCTTTATCCCTTTCCTCAGTTTAGGCTGAGAGGCCAGAGAGATGCCAGTCTGTGGTAGGACAGGTGGGACGCTAGAGCAAATGTGATGCCTTGACTTTGTCAGGATGAATAAGTAGAAAATGGAAAGTTTTGATTTGAGTTTTTTTTAGTAACCAGGTGGTTAAGGAAGAAAAGTTACATATGGATGGCAGGTGATGTTATTTGAGCCAATATTGCCAAGCCCATTAAACCTAAGCACCTTCTAAGGGTTGTGTGGAACACTACTCAACAATACAAGATTGACTTTAAGCGATCACTAAAAAATCATACCTTGAATCACCTTTCTTTCATGACACAATTCAGTGTTCAGTGACTGAGCCTTGCAGCATGTAATCAAAACATTTTGCACTTTGTATGATCTTCTTAGACTTTCAAGTGAGGGAGGTCTATATTTTTGAAAGGAGATATCCAGAGACCACCTAGATGCTGCAGGAAGTGGTGCTTATGATTTGGTTGGGAGCCCCCTTTATACTGTGGCCAAGTGCAAGGGGTGCTGGCCAGTAGATCTAAGATGGATAATTACAATTTCCTGTCTAAATTTCTACTGCAGTTTCAGCTGAGTACGTCATTCTTCCATTCTCTTTCCTAGCTGTTGTGAAGTTCCTTGTAGCACATTTCAGAAATGCAAACAACAATCTCTTGAGTGTATTTGTATATCAGTTTGTAAAGCCCTTTATTTTACCTGAAAGGATCCCAGGACGTAAGATTGTTATGAATGAGACTCTCCTCTAGATCAGGATTAAATATGGTTCTTAAAGGCAAGTGGAAGTGATTCACCATCATTTGCGCCTTTTCAAATCTGACTGAGACTGCTTGTAAACACGGATGTTTTGGAGAAATACTTTTTGGACGTGCTGACGTTTTGCTGCACTCTCCCCAAAACGGTCAAATGCAAGATTCCCTTTCCCTGTTTTCCATGACAGGATATTACCCCTGTCCCTAACGTCAATGGAAGGGTATTAGCTCTCCGGAGAGCTGTAATGCCCAGCCATTGACGACACAGAAAGGAAATGTTAAGTCACTAACAGTTTAAAAATGTTGACGTTGACATTTTTTGAAATGTCTGGAGGTCCAGCTTAGCTGCGAGTACCCAAGAGTTGGGCAGTAAATGTTTGGCTGAAGCTGATTCATGTGACCGCTGTCATTTATAAGCTCTTGAGCTATTCTTGCTGTTCCTGATGGCAATGCAGCCCCTGGAGTGAATTACAGTGTGGTTTTTGCTCCAGGGCTTTCTATTATCCTATATGCGTTAACCTTGATCTGTTGGATTTTGCTCTGATGCAAGTCATCCTGTCTGTGTGACTGCAATATGGCCCCAATTAAAATCAGCTGTGAACTTTTTATTTCAGGGTGCTTAAGAAATGTTCCCTGGAAGATAGTAAATCACATGTTAATTACTGTTAAGGATAGGAGTCCTGTATCAAACCCCTAAGTATTCAAAATTCCATTTGATCCTTACGGATCATAATCTAATTTCAGTAAACTACGCAAGAGGACATGGGCTACAGAGCCTGAGCAGGAAGGCATGACATGAAAAGGTGGTTTCTTGTGACTTGAAAAACATACCAAAGTAGACACTAGAGGCCTGATTTTTCCACAAGTGTTGAACACTTGCAGCTTCCACTAGAATCAATGGGAGCAGCAGGTGTTCAGCTCCTTTGAAAATTAAGTACTGAACCATGATGGCAGTGGAGGAAGCGGAAAAGGGTTATACTTCAACACCCCTCCCCCATTTTCCCTCTCCTCTTTAATCCCTCCTTGGCCAGAAGGATGTTGTTTGAAAGACAAGACACTTCCTCCTTCCCCCTTACAGGGCTTAGTGCAGGGAACAAGGAGTCAAACCCAGGATCCAAACTTTAATTGCCTGTGTGACAGCGCACTTTGCAGCCCCTAAACCTGGGGTGACCAGACATCCCAATATTAGGGGCTTTGTCTTACATAGGACCCTATTATTCCCCCTCCCCATTCCGATTTTTCACACTTATCTGGTCATCCTAAGTAAACCTGTAGGTTCACCAGTCCAAATCTCCCTGTACTACTACAAAACACTGGGCATAAATGATAATTTCTATGTTGTATAGTTGCTGCCGCAAGAAAGAAAGAAAATTGTATCTTGTTTAGTTAAGTTAAAATAACATTAAGGATCAGACTGAGACAAACATGTTGAAGTTGAGAAGTAAGGCTGGATGCCAAATGCATGTGTGTCTTCAATACAGCTTATACATAAAACTGAATCAATGAAGGCCAATATCTTTTATCGCTGCTTTATTCGTCCAGAGAATATGAACTCTACAACTTAATGCAGAACAAAGTGCACAGTCCTTTGTAGCATACTACATAATCTGAAAGATTTATTATACAGCCCTCCTTAGTGCGAAAAAGAGATAACATTACCTACCCCTTATAAAGATGTACCATGCAAATGGAGTCTATTATATAAGTTTATGGCACAGTTGAAACACTGGGAACATTCTGCATATTCAAATTACAGGTACACAATTTTTTGCCTGTATTAGGAAAGTAATTAATGCCTGTTTCGCTCATTAAAATTAAAGCAGAAGGATCAGTATCATGGCAACTTTTCATACATTGCAGAAACCTTGCTTACAGAGGTTGCATTCCCTGGCATTATTGTGTCTACCCAATCTTGTCAATCTTATTCTGATTACCATCTACATGTATGTAAATTAATTTCCTTGGGCCAGGGTTCTAGACTCATGGACTTTAAGGCTAGAAGGGACCATCATGATCATCTAGTCTGACGTGCACATTGCAGCCCACAGAACCTCACCCACCCACTCCTGTAACAGACCCCTAACCTCTGGCTGTGTTACTGAAGTCCTCAAATCATGTTTTAAAAACTCTGAGCTACAGAGAATCCACTATTTACACTAGTTTAAACCTACTATGATCATGGGGTCAGTACAAATCTGGATACAATAGGGAAGAGGCCCTTCTCTTCTTTTCATTTTTCCACCTAACTCTTTTACTCTCCATTAGAAACTTTCACTAGTGACACCTCTAATTCCACAGTTTGAGCTTTTCACTTTTATATATGATCAACTTTCTGGTGTGGAGAGGGGAGGAGAGGTGTATGGTGTATTGTATAGGGGAAGCTTGCTAACTAACTCCAACCCAAGTAGCCATCACTGACTGTAATATAATTAAATCCATGTCAACTTGTCCCACTGTTCTTCTGCATAACCGATTTTTTAAAAGATTTTTCTTAACAAACAAAAATGAGAGAAAAATAATTTAAAATGTAAAACAATGCAATCAAGTAGTTTTATTTGATGATAGACGAACAGTGTGACAGTGGGTCTATGCAGAGAACCTGGACAATCTTGTCTCCTTTGCCTGTAAAGTGCCATTTGCCCTAATGGTGGTGTATTAAAACAAATAAAAATACAAACCTCACCTTATCCACAGAGCAGTGTAGGATATGTGAAGGACAGTGTCTAGGACTGTGTCACATTTCTAGTCAGATAGGGAGAGTGTTGCTTTGTCACTTCACTAATGTGGAGTCCCAGTTAGTTTCTGTGCCATTTTCAGCTAAATCCTTGTGTAAACGAAATATGGTGAAGGCCAGAGGCTTAGGAAATACGTTCTGTGAGATGTGCACTGGAGCTGAGGGAAGATTTCTGGCGGCAGGATAGACAAATGTATGTAGAGCTCCTCATCAAAGATTATTAGAATGTGTCACACAATGTTGCCTTCATCTGTGACTCCCGTCCAGAACTTCAGCCCCTTTCCAGCAGTAGGAGAGTCCAAAGGCTTATGATTGCCAGAGGAGGAGAGCTAGATCGCTGAGTGTCCTCAGGCCTTGAAAGAGTCTGGAAGATGGTTTGAAATAGGTGCATAAATGCTATTCGTGTAAGACAGAAAAGAGGGTATTTGGGCATGTTAACTCCTCTGTCTATGGAGGCCATCAATTTTATTCCTTTTCCATAGCGATTAGATGGCTCTATGAATTTGCTCCATTTCGAAGTTCCGAAGTGGTTCAGGGAGTGAAGGGCAGCCTTTAAAGGGCGGAATCTGTTTGTGTTTCTGATTGCAGCAATCTGTTGGTAGAATTGTGGCAACACTGAAGAGGACCCTGTGCGACCTTCAGCTGAATTCCCTTTTCCATACCAGGCCTTCAATCCCAGAGCATGTTCACCATGAAATAATAGTGGATCCAGTGTCTCTTAAGTGACAGAAATCTTGTAACTTAAAGTCCTTGTGCAACGCATAGGCATGTTAGCGCTCTGGACTGCCCGCAAGTTTTAGTTCTCAGAGAGTTCTTAGAGTCTTTTGGCCTTTTAGGGACTGAATAGCTGTGTGTGCTCAGCTCTTTGAGAGTGTGGTTTAAGTAGAGCTATCGGAGACCAGGCTGGGAACCCTTGATATGAACAGGTCTAGGGCAGTGAGATCACACCTCCTTTCTTTATGGCTAGGCGAGGGGGTGATCCCAACGTTTTTCTGTTGTTGTATGGGGCACTGTGTGAAAGAGGTTGAGAACCATTGATCCATAGAACTGAAGCAATGGGGTGGCGGGACTTGAGGGGGCTCAAGCTTTGGTCCCTGCTCCTGGGGTCATGTAGTAATTTTTGTTGTCGGAAGGGGGTCGCGGTGCAATGAAGTTGGAGAACCCCTGATATAAGTGGTGTCCTTAAATGAGATGCACAAAATGTCAGTAGCATGGAGTCTGACTAGTGTTTTATATCTTCCCCAGCATACATAAGGCCCTACTCCCTTCCCAGTCTTCCACCACAAGTCAGGAAGGTGGATTAAATGGGTGAAAATATATCTGTTCTTGATGGCTCAGTCATGGATGCTGCAGCAGGCCTCTCCAGGGATAGCAGCCGATCGAGAGTTCTAGGTACATAACTAAATAAAAGTACCCTTTCTTTCTGCTTCCATTCTCTAGGCAAATGGCCAAAAGTCTTGGGCAGGCTGGTGAAATTGAGCCTGAAACAGAAGGGATCCTGACGGAGTACGGTGTGGATTTCTCTGACTTCTCCCGAGACGTTCTGGAATGCCTTCCCCAGAGCCTGCCCTGGGTCATCCCACCCGCAGAGTTGGCCAACAGGAGAGATTTAAGGTAACAGCAAACTCTCTCTGGTCTCAAGGTTGTTCTTGTGTTGGTGTGATTTTTCGCTTCACAGGTGTTGTCTCATCACACCATTCAGCAGCCCTGCTCTTCGAAAAGAAAGCAAACGGCCAGTGTTTTGGGGAAGCATTTGGTGTAGCAAAGGGTATTTTCGTCAAAAGAACTATTGAAGACAACATTAATACCTAGATAAAGAATTGAATGCCTGGCATCTAATTGGAGAGCTTTCTTTTTTGTCTGGAATGCTTTAAATACTTTAGTGATCGTTTTTGTAACAAGAACAGGAGTCCTTGTGGCACCTTAGAGACTAATAAATTTGTTAGTCTCTAAGGTGCCACAAGTACTCCTGTTCTTTTTGCGGATACAGACTAACATGGCTGCTACTCTGAAACCAGTTTTTGTAACGTTTCTCTATTAATGCATGGGATTTATTTTTTTTTAGACTCACAAAAGTTCCCAGTGCTTATTTTTTTCAGGTCTGACAATAATTCTAGGTTCTATGTAAAGATGTTTCTGGTATATGAATTCTCACTGAACCGCTGGTAATGTACCTGCAACTGTCTTGGGTTCTCTGATTTGTTACACTGAAGCTCAGTGACACTCAGAGACAGTCCCCTGCGTTGCCTGGGTTGTTTGGTTGTGGCTTTTTTCGATGTTTTGAAGCGTTGGCGGTTCGCATTTTAGGGACATGGTGCGCACTGTCTGATGGTGCTTCCCTGCTGATTGTTACTAAGGTAAATGTTGGCATGGTTTTGATTCCTAAAGGCAGAGGTTTCCGTTGTCTGTGTTGGTGTAAAGGCATGCGTGCATTTGTACCCACAGCAAGTTCCATTCCCTCTTAGCATACTTGCGTAGTTCCCATTAAGGGTAACAGATTGTATCCAGGGGAGGATAGACACCAGCATTAAGTATCTGTATCTGGAGTCCAGAGTTGAAAGGCCAGTACACAACACAAATCCAAGTCTTTGGGCTGGGATGGAGGTGGAAAAAGGAAGATGATTTAGCAGTTGGAAAAGGAGACCAGGGCCAAGTTTGGGTCCTTTTCCTGATTCTGTCACTGATTTACTGTGTGGCCTTTGGCAAGTCACTACGTCGCTGTGGGTTGCAGCCTGTGTAAAATGGGGATATTGTCGACCCCACAGCAGCATTGCGAGGCTTAAATTATGTCTATAAAGTTCTCTGTATCCTTGGATGTAGGTAATTATGTATTTTGTAATGATAACTGTTAAGATCAGAACTACCAAAGATTTCTCTCCCGGCTTTGCAGCTGTGCTGTACGTAAGATTGAATGGTTTCCTCTTAAGCCTGGTTCTCCACTCCAGTGGAGCAAAAGCTGCCATAGTCTGTTGAAATCAGTGGAACAACATTGGTATAAAAATGGAGTAACTCAGTGGAGAATCAGGTTCCTTATTTGCTAGTGTCAGACGTCAGATATTAGATTTCAGATTTGGAATGACTGAAAACACAATGGTACAAGATGTCACTCCCCCACAGGCATTAGGCTACAGGGTGGATGTCACTCGAGTGTTCTTATTTTGGGGCTCTTGGCTACACGTCAGCGAAGGGGGAGCAGTCTTCCTCTAATTTCTTCTGCCCTAGCAGTAATGCTGTTGCAGGCGGATGAGGAACTTGACTTGTCTCAGATTACACAGTCATTCTTGGAAACAAATTCCAAATGCGTTTCTTGGTTTTGTTACTGATTTTTTACAGTGAGAATTCTCAAGGCAATCGGCACCCCATAACGGTTTTGCAGCTTGGCCATTTAAATCCTTCTCTCTGATTAAACCGGCTGTCTCTTCGTAGAGATGGTGAACCCTGCAAAGTAACTTTCCTTCTGTTTGCTCAAATATAACCCTGCTGTCAAAGCTTCCAAAATAATTACTTATGTTAGTCCTGTATTAATACTTTCAATGTTAATTACCATATTGCTACTTATTAGTCTCCTAAACACACCTGAAGCTAGTATGAAGTTTCTGTGCCTGGATATGAAAGGTAAATTACATGTGAATCTTTCTATTAGCTTGCTTTTTGATAGCCTGAAAGTGGGAGTTTGCCAGCTCCAAAAGAAAATGAATTTTTATTAACAAAAATAACGTGGGGCCTACCTAATTGAAATCCACTCCTCTTTCTCCTACATTCCACTTCCCTGCCATCAAAAACCGCTCACACCATTCAGTGATAGGTCTGGGTGTCTTCTCCTCTGGTGGCATGACCCATTGCCCCTTGAGACAGGTGCTGGCAAAGGGGGTAGTCGTAAGACTTTTAACCTTCCATCTTGGTGTTTTTGACTAGCTTTTGGTACTCTCTTGGCAGCCAGTATGTTGTATATTGTCAGCACAGTACAATGCTTGACCTGCACATGCGCAAATTAGGCACCGACAAATATATATGCAGAATTGCATACATTTGAACTTGAGTATCTGTATGCACATATTGTAACTATGTATGTTAGTAGTTGCTCGGTCTTGTTTCTTTACTACATAGAGAGTGATTTTCACTGAAGCTACGGTGTTATTTACAATATCGTACGTCTGTACTGTACTGTAAGTCTTCATCTAGGCTACAGAAAGAGCCATCTTAACTGAAATGCTTTTAAATTAGATTCATGCTAAAACGTAACCAGTGTAAACATGGTATCATCTTACACTTTATATTTTAGAGCTTGTTCTAAATCCCCGCCTGTTCTATAATACTTTTTTGTCAATGCTATCTGTAAACCAGTTGTGTGGGCTCTTGGTCATCCTTGTTAGCATGAATCAGATAAAAAACCATGTTAGCAATACTAGTTTTAGCCTCTAGTCGCGCTTGCTATTGCCACTCATTCCGTTAGTGTAGAAGATGGTCTCAGTTACTTGACTATTGCTTGGATTCCTCTATTGTCTGATGGCCGAGTGGTTGACAGGGCACTTCTCTTTGGGTTTCCATGACTGAGACTCTTGTGAAGTATTGTGCATTATAATATTTCCCCTAGTTCTGAAGGTAACTTTCTGACAAGGTGAAACTGGGATACATAAGACTCTCTCCTGCTCGAAACATGTCTTTTTGGTCTATACTAATGTAGAAAAACAGTCTCTTCAAAACCATGAGTTATGTTTGTTAATACGTCTTTGGAGTACTTAGCTGGAGGAATGATTACTTAGCTAAAAGGAATCTCACACAAAGGAAAGATCGTGAACATGGCTTTGGGTCAAAATAAAGCAATGGGTCATACTAATCCATAGAGGATGTTAACACTGATCAGTGTAAAGCAATGATTTTACTAGTCTATGCTATCTTGTAAATATATTTCCCCAGCTTCCTGAAAGTTTCATCTTTACAAAAGGTGTACTGTTACCATGTTTAGGGACTTGCTTTACTGAACTATCCTGTATCTTTCATGTAGTCACTTCAAGGAGATCAGTTTTTTCCTCCGTCCAAATATTTATCAAAAAAGTTTTAAAAAATATTTTAATAGTACATAATATGCAAAATCCTTAGACAGTTACAAAATTTCCCGCTTTTATAGGTTAAATTCCCATCTCTGCTACTAAGTCACTATAGTATTCTGGGCAACCTCTTGATCTCTCTCTATTTCATTTTATTCATTTGTAAAATGAGACAAATATTTCATAGGTGCTGTAACTAATGGATTTCAAAGGACATTGAGGTCCTATAATGAAAAGTGCTAGATGATGATGAAGTGTTATCATTGTGTACTGACAACTGCCATTTCAACAGAGAGCTTGGATTTTATGGTATTTGACCAGTATAGTTTATGAAATGTGTGTTCCAGAATCTGTAAACACAATTAGGATCAGAATTCCTTTTTCTCCCCTTCTCTCTCTCTCTCTCTCTGATTGACTGGAACTAAATTAGAAAAGAGGAATGCTTGGTTTGCTATTTAAAAGAAACGTTGAGACTGGAAGAGTGGTGTGGCTGAGGCAAATTCTGAAATGACATACTTCTAGCCATTTTCTGGTCTTCTCCATTGCTTCAGCCTGTAAATTTCATTTCCTTGTTTGCTTTATGCTGAGTGTTTCACCTGTGTAGTACAGAACATCACTAGTGAAAAGAAGAGGGTCAGAGCAAACAAGGACATTCAAATTTCAGAGGTGGATGTAGCAGTGAGGGGAGTAGAGGAGGAAACCCTTTGAAGAGGTTTAGCCAAAAATCTAAGAAACCTAAAAGCTATTTCTAAGGCTTGTTCCAAATGTTTCTAATTTCATTCATATCTTTTTGTTTCTTTTACTGCTAAACTGGGACAAGAAACCAAAGCCAGGAAAGTCCGATCATAGTGGGAAACAAAAACCTAAATATTGGAGAGAGAAAAAAGGCCGTTCTTTGCAGAGCAATTCTGCCTTTTGCATGTCTCCCATTGTTAGTGTTACTGTGGAAAATGTATAACGTCACTCTTTTGGAAAGCTCTAACCCTCGTTGAACTAGAGATGGTTTATATAGTCTAACATGGAAGAACTTGAGGATATCTATTTCTTTACCATTCGCCTAATAACGAGTGAGTCCAGTGACCTCCGCTGGACCATTACAAATGCGAAACTTGGCTCTCAAAATTGCTTGCTCTAAATTTTCCAGTTGCTTTCTCTTTTTTTCCATTTGATGTCATCCTGCCAACTAGTGATTTTATTATTATAAACAGGACATTGTATTCACTTTTAAGAAGAAATATGAAGCTGGAGGTAAAATTACAAACTGCAGTTTCTCAGCTGCCAAAATAGAAAACAATGAGCTAAAAATACGGAGCAGAGAAAGAAACACTGAAATATCTGCAGAATGAATCGTCTGAAGAGCAAAAATTTTCATTTTCCACCCCAACTAACTCTCTAATGTTGTCTTGTAAGCAAAATTGCAGCACCGATGCGAATACTGAATATTGAGGGCACTGCAAAGAAACAACCTGAGGAGCCAATGCACAGAAGTGAGAGACTGTTCAAGTTGTCGTTGAACAATTAATGATCATTCTGTTTCCCTATGAGCAGAGTTAATGAAATGTTGTT